ATCCTCAGTCAACCTGGAACACTCGACATGCACACGGGCACCCCAGATCCTCACAAGCTGCAGAGGGGTCAGCAGCACGACAAGATCCTATTTAGGGCCCTGTGTTTGTCCAGCGTGTGTGCGTGCTCGCTCTCCCTCTCTCTCATGTGTGCACACACACATTATCATGAATAGATTAAACTTAAAGAGCCAGCCTCGGGAACCAGCAGTTAGCGTAATGGCTATGTCGCTGGACTCCCACGTAATCAACCGCGGTTCGCGTCCCGGACCCGGTGGCTTAAAACTCACGCCGGACGCATGTGTGTGCGTGCCCAAGATCCCGAGAGGAGAATGGAGGAGAAGGGATTGCAGCATGACCATCCCCCCTGGGGGGTGATTTCTCGCTTTCTGTCTCTATGTCTCTGTCTGTCTGGCAAGCACACGCGTCCTATAGCAAAAACCTCTCAAAAAAAAAAAAAAAAAAAAGAGCCAGCCTCTGGGACTAGCAGATGGTGTGATGGTTACACTGCTGGACTCCCATGTAGTCGACCACGGTTCGAGTCCCAGACCTAATGACTTAAACTCATGCCAGGCATGTGTGCATGTGTGCCCAAGACCCCGAGAGGAGAATGACAGAAAACGGAATGTGGCGTGGCCATCCCCCTGGGGAGTGATTTCTTGCTTTCTGTCTGTCTGTCTCTCCAGCAAGCACACACACTCTCCAGTGACCCCACAGCAAAAATCTCTCTTAAAAAAAAAAAAGAGCCAGCCTCATAGCACAGTGGTTAAGAACTGTGCATAAGGGGGCCAGCAGGTGGCACAGTGGTTAAGGCACTAGATTCCCACATGGCCAACTGCGGTTTGAGTCTCAGACCCAGAGGCTTGCTACTCACGATGGATGTACATACCTGTGTGCCTAAAATCCCAAGAAGGGAATGGAGGAGAAGGGATTGTGGAATGGCCATCCCCCCCTGGGGGGTGATTTCTCGCTTTCTCTGTCTCTCTGGTGAGCTCACATGCCCTGTAGCAAAAATCTCTCTAAAAATAAAAAATAAAAAATTGTGCATAGGGAGCTGGATCCCATATACCTAACTACAGTTCAAATCTCATCTCCCATCCTGACAGGATAGAGAAATGGAGGACAAGGGATTGTGGCATGACCATGCCCCACGGTGGGTGGGAGGTGCTTTCTCTTTCTCTGGCAAGTGCATGTATCCTACTAACAACAAAACAAGAAATTCAGGGGCCCGCAGGTGGCAGGGCAGTTAAAGGCGCTGGATTCCCACTTGGCCAGCTGCCTTTTTTTTGTTTTGTTTTGTTTTTTGGAGAGGTTTTTTTTTTTTGCTATAGGGCACATGCGCTCACCAGAAAGAGAGAGAGAGAGACAGAAAGTGAAAAATCACCCCCCAGGGGGGATGGCTACGCAGCAATCCCTTCTCCTCCAGTCTCCTCTCAGGATCTTAGGCACATATGCACACACGCCCAACGTGAGTTTTAAGCCACCGGGTCTGGGACTTGAACCGCGGTCGACTACATGGGAATCCGGCGACACAGCCATTATGCTAACTGCTGCTCCCCCTAGAACTTGTTTCTAAAAAAAAGGAGGGCAGGGGCTGAGCCAGCTGAGTGGAAGAATTTTACTTTAGTTAACAATGTCACTATTCACCCCCAAAATGCAGTGAATTATCCTAAGGAAGGAGGGACACTTAGGAGACCTCAGAATTTTCTGCCACTTCAGCCAACCAACAGGCAAGATTCTACAGCCTTACCAGCAAGTTTTCCTAAGGCTACCGTGTGAGAGCTAGAATGAGCCTTTCTACTGTCACTGTGGAGGGAGGCCGGCACCGGCAGTGACACTTCCCTATTCATCCCCCACATCACTGTTAGGCTGATATTGGCTGGGGAAGAAGAACAGGGTGAAGAAAGAAGAGAGAAAAGAGAATGCCAGAAAATGGACTTTCCTTTATCTCATTGGGGGGCCTTTCTTTGTCCCAGATTAAATCGAGGCCTAAGTAAGTTCCAGTGGAGCAACAAAGAACTGATATTGGATCCTAAACTTAGAACTGACAGACTCGAGTGAGGGAAAAAAGTGGGAAGTGATACAGAAGAAAGTTTCAACAAGATAGGGAGGGAGATTCTGGGATTTCCTTCCATGAAAAATCTTTACTTATTTGAGTTCACTCACTTAGAAGGTATTTTTGGAATATTCAATATATGCCTGGCATTGTTTAACTACTAGGGATGTAGCAGTGACAAATAATAAGAAGAATAAAAATCTCTTTTCTGGTGTCTATGCATACCCTTTAGCAATTGTTAATTTATTAACTAACTAAAATAAAAACGAGATAACCTCTGCCTCCCTACAGTTCATATACTAGTGGAAAGAGAGAGGCAAATGAAAAATAAATATGAAATAGTGGTGTCGTACAGAAAAATTAAAAAAAAAAAAAAAAAGAAAGGAGAGTCGAGAGTAGGGGGTGACGGGAGGTTGCAATTTATTTATTTATTTACTTACTTACTTAAAAGTGAGAAATCAGCCCCCTAGCAAGGATGGCCAAACCACAATCTCCTCTCCTCCATTCTCCTCTCAGGACTTTGGGCATGCATGCACATGCACCCAGCATGAGTTTTAAGCCACTGGGGCCAGGACTCGAACCCGGAGGTTGGCTGTGTGGGATCCAGCCACCTTAACCTCCACACCAGCTGACTGGCCAATAATTTAAACAGATACGCTAAGGAAGTCCTCGCAGGGAGGATGCCTTGTGTGCCAGGACTCAAATGAGGTGAAGGAAAGAATGTAAGGATACCTGGGAAAAGAAACTGAAGATACAGCAAGTACAAGGATGGAAGTGGCCTTTCAGACGTCAACTTCTTCAGGACAGCAAGGCAATAAACTTCTCCCAGAAGGTTAGCAAAGGGGAGGCCGGAAGTGACCAATGAACTTCTCAGAGGAGACAAAGGAAAGCACCGCACAGTAATTCTACATCCTTCCTTGCCCCTCCAATTAATGTCTTTTTTTTTTTAAGTGTATTGGTTTTTAGTTTTTCGTGCATGCATGTGAGGGAGAGAAATCATCCCCTGGGGGATGGCCACACCCCAATCCCTTCTCCTCCAGTCTCCCCTCAGCACGCACACCCACCCAGCATGATTTTCAAGCCGCTAGGTCTTGGACTCTCAAACCAGGCAGTCAGCCATGTGGGATCCAGCGTCTTAACCTTCACGCCTCCTGCTGGCTCCAATTTAGTCTCCTTTACCCCCAAAGCCCTTGATCCAGAAGGGACCTTGTGTGCTGCTGTCACATGCAGAAGCTTGGCTGCCTCTCCTAGAAACAGTACCCAACTACCCAGATACACCAGAGGCGAGGTTTGAGGTTCAGAAAGACCCAGTTATGTCATCTTCGCCTTGCTCTTTACCAGGTAACACCCTGCACACTGGACACTTGTGTCTCACCTGTGAAAGCTGGCATGTCATCTCCCAAAGTTCAGTAACCACTGCAGAAAAAGGCCTGGCAAGTGATCTGCACCCAACAAACGTGCAGTTTCTTCTCTAACTCCCTTCAAAAACAGATTCTAAAATTCCCATCCTTTCCCTAGAGGCCCTAAAGCATTTCTGCTCAGGGGCACAGAAAAAGGCAGGTCCCAAGAGTGGGGCCAGGGCTCAGAAGTCCTGACTGCTGTGATTCCTTCAGGGGCCAGATTTCCAGTTCTGTCTGGGAAGAGGGAAAAAACGCAGCCTGAGATGAAGATGCCACGAGGGGGAGAGGAACTGAGCATCCCTAGGCCTAGACTTGGGCCTGTAAATGCCAGGTGATGATACGTGGCTCTTCTGCAAGGGAGCCCAACTTGGAGAACCCTGCATAGGCAAACACCCGAACTCCCCAAGCTGACCAACTTCGGCTCAATCAATTACACTGTAAGAGGATTCCAGTGGCTTGGAATGGTCGGAGTTTATAGGATGGAGTCCCATCTCGCAAGTCCTTCCTACAGCTGAGCTCAACCCCGACAGTCAGTTTGGGGGTGCCTTCCCTGCATACTCACATCGCCCTTATGCAGCTCCGGCGCCGCGATCTTCACCGGCTCTCTCCTCTTCTTTGGCTTGGGAAGCCCCAGAGGGGGCCCGGCACCGCCGATAGGGGGGGGCAGGCTGAGGGCAGGGCCTCGGGGGGGGGGGCGCCCC